ACTTTGTTATCAGAGCCAGACAGAAGCTCTGGGAGATGAGTCTAGTGATAGTAAATGTTTGGATGAGCTTCCTGCTTTATGATGGGAAGATAGGAGTAGTGAAAAACTACCACATTCTTTTTTTTTATCTCTTTGCAACTATACTACAAAATAGCCATAAAATGTTATAGTATTTATAATATCAATAATATGACACAGTTTTTACATTTTTATTGTGTTTCCACTTCTAGAGAAGCATTTCTCCAAATAACATAGCATTACATCTTGAAATTCTCTTTTAAAATGCAGATGTCTCTAGTGATAGAAACAGCTCTCATTTTTTTTTTTTTTTTTTGAGACAGAGTCTCACTCTGTTGCCAGGGCTAGAGTGCCATGGTGTCAGCCTGGCTCACAGCAACCTCAAACTCCTGGGCTCAAGCGATCCTTCTGCCTCAGCCTCCTGAGTAGCTGGGACTACAGGCGTGCACCACCACACCCGGCTAATGTTTTCTATATATATTTTTAGTTGTTTGGCTAGTTTCTTTCTATTTTTTAGTAGAGATGGGGTCTCGCTCTTGCTCAGGCTGGTCTCAAACTCATGAGCTCAAGCAATCCTCCCGCCTCAGCCTCCCAGAGTGCTAGGATTATAGGTGTGAGCCACCGCGCCTTGCCCAGCTCTCATTTTTGAGTGCTTGATCAGCTTAGACATTATGAGCCATTAGTTGCGAGATGTGGTGCTGGGAGTTAGGATGCAGAACAGGTAAGTTTTCTGTGAGTGAATGAGAGAGTGAAGATGAAGAATGTGACATGCTTCTCTAGTGTTCTGGTCTTGGTGGGGTGCCAAGGAGAAGACTCCAGGATACTCAAGGAGGCTGAGGTCTCCAGGCACAAGTGGGAGAGCAAGCAGGCGGTAGAGAATGGCATCAAAGGGGTGGGAGAGAAGGATGGAAAAGAAAACTATCCAGTGCTTTTCCAGTGTTGCCTGAGGCCCACAGTCATAAATCTCTCCGACTATCTGTTTTCTTCAGTACTTGGAGGAAGAGTACCGCAAAGGAGCCAGGGAAGATGACCCCATGCCTCCAGTGCAGCCCTATCACTACGGCTCCCACTATTCTAACAGTGGCACTGTGCTTCACTTCCTGGTTAGGATGCCTCCTTTCACTAAAATGTTTTTAGCTTATCAAGGTAAGGGTTTTTTTAATAACTGCTTAAAAAGTCATATTGGGTCATCAGAAGAAAAAATAAATTTGACTGGCTTTTTAAGAACTATCAAGACTAATCAAACCACAGGAAAAAGAATTCTATTTATTCCTTCACCAAAAATCTGTAGTAAGACAAATCATTTTACTAATGTCTCAGATTTTAGCTTCAAATTAAGCATGTCTATGTTTATAAAAATGCAATTCACTTTTTAAAAATTAAAATGTAATTCACAAACCATAAAATTTACCCTTTTAAAGTATATGCAATTCACTTTTTAAAGACATTGAACTAATAATTATTGCAAATCATATAAGTTACCTTTGGAGCCTACGTACATTATTTGTACATAGGGTACATTATTGTAATTTATCATAGGGGAGTACATTATTGTAGTTTATTATAACTCCTCTCTCTAATAGGAGAGCCACACTGGCACCTTCACTGTAGTAGCTTTCTAGATAATCTTCTACCCCAGCATTGTAAGCGGCAGCCTGCAGGCCTGAAGGTGACTTAGATAGGAGTGAATTTCCTCATTTGTGTGCAAATAGGGACGCACTCACCTGTCAGTTTCTAATGAGAGCTGTGGTATTAGCTCTATAGTTGTTTCTCATGGCACCCAGAATCCTTTGTGGAATCATTTTCCATTCATTTACTCAACCCATCTTGAACTTCTTTATTTTTTTTACTCATATATGACCTCTTGGAGGAATGGATTTTGTACAAGGGGCTTTTGTATATTTGTCCCTCTGTAAATACACAGAACAAATGTTCCACATGACAGCTGTTCAAATATTTGAAGGTCTCACCCTTTCCCTCTTCTCTTTCTCAGTCTTGTTTTTCCTCTGGTTAATTATCCTTGGTTAATTTGACATCAGGTTGAGGGCCTCCTATATGCACGGTCTTCTCCCAGCTTCAGCAAGGAATACTGGACAATAAATAAGACAGTTTTATACTTAATAAAGTATTTTAAAAACTAATGTGTAAGCCATTCTTGTTTACTATGGTTTCCAAGCCTGCCACTATTCTGAAGATCTTTCTGAACAGGTCCTGATTTGTGAATGTCCTTATTCAAAAATGGCAGTCAGAATAACAAAGAATATTTCAGATGTGGTTTGAGGCCGTTGAAGTGTTTAACAGAATTGTTACCTCACTCCATCTAAGACTATATTTCTTTTAATGTAGCCTAAGAATCCATTAATATAAAACTCCCAGTCAACTAAAATTTATCAATATTTTTCATTCATATTATTGTTATGAATATATTCGTATGTAATATTATGTTTTCTTCATTGTGTATTTATGAATAGATTTTTTTTAAATCCTGGACTACCTCAATCCCCATTCACTTTTTTAGCTCATTAGTTTAAAATGATATTTGTTGGCTTTTGAATTTATATCTAGACTTACGGTTTAGTACAGGGATTCTCAACCTTGGCACTGTAGTCCTCTCATGCTACATGATTTTTTGTCATGAAGGCTGCCTTGTGCATTGTAGGATATTTAGCAGCATCCCTGGCCTCTCCCCACTAATGGCAGTGATACCACCACCATCCCATCCCAGTCGTGAGAATTAAAAATGTTTCCAGACATTGCCAAATAATCCCTGGAGGGTGAAAGTGCTACTGGTGGAGAACCCCTGGTTTAGTATATGCACATTCTAGGTTTTAGGAATTTGTAGTAGTACTTTTTAAAAAAAATTTAGGAAGCTACAGAGAATCTTAAAATCTGAACAGAACCCATAGTGTGCTTCTCTTGTTCCACAGTTCCTTAGTCTCAGCTCTGGATTCTGTGACCCCACCATAGCCTTACAGAATTGCCTTAATTTTTCTGAATTCTGTTTAGATTGACAACTTTTTCTCCTCAGTGAGTTAGTAGGTATTTCTTTAAATGGCCCTCCATACTTTCTGAGAAAAAATAAATATTTATAAACCTTATTTGTTCCTAGATTTTATTTAGTGGCTAGCCAGTGCTAACTGACTTAACAGAGTAGATGAGAAAGTGATAAAAGTAATAGTAAATGTTGCTTGGAGAAGAAACTTAACACATCGTTTTGGAATTGTGCTTTGCTTGATGCTGAGACTAGTTTGTGCCAGTCTCCAAATGAAAAGATGTGTTCAAATTTCAACAAGTTCAGAAGAGTGTTAGATGATGCAACATGGTTCCTAAAAAACATGTACACTGCTGTTTTCAGGGGCCAGTTTTTGGATATCATTTAATCTAGTCCTTCCTTATGGCTAGAAAGTCTGATAATTGTTGACAGAAAAGAGAGTCCAAATTAAATTCTTAATTTGATTATTAATGGTCTATACCGGAAAAAAATGTTTAAAAGAGTGACTATGCTTAGCTTTATTTTCATTCATAGGGAATTTTACTCGATTCTTTAGCATAGAGTTAGAACACCTAAAAAGCAATGCACCCCATACACACCCAAACCAAAAAGAAAAGAAGGGAAAAAAATAATCTTAACAGTTAGAGATGAAGGAATAATTTGCTTCTTGATGAAGAAAAAACTATTTACCTACTTGAACTTTAATTTTCCTTCTTCATTATTCATTCATTCAATAAATACATCATTATTGAGTACTCATTATGTGCTAGGTGTGGGTGATACCCAGGCCCCTGCTTTTATGGAACTTTCCTTCTACTTGGGTAGACAGAAGGTAATCAATTAAACAAATAAATGATATAAATTCATCTAATTATTTGTATTATGAAAGCATAATATAGATGAAAAATAATGTAATATCTCAAATTATTTATAGAAATATTTATTTTCAAGAATATGAATAACCTCTTTTAGACTATGAGCAAACAAAATGAACATTATTTTCATCTTTCTGAAGTAGCAAAAGTAAATTAATTATGACAGGTCTCAAATGGAATTAGGTCTTTGTGTCTTAATTATGTTATTTGTATTTCTTTATAGATCAAAGTTTTGACATTCCAGACAGAACTTTTCATTCTACAAATACAACTTGGCGCCTCTCATCTTTTGAGTCTATGACTGATGTGAAAGAACTTATCCCAGAGTTTTTCTATCTTCCAGAGTTCTTAGTTAATCGTGAAGGTATAGCAACAAATTATTTCTAATTTACATTTCTGAGGGTTTGTGGTTATTTTATTATTTTCCAAAAATAAAAATAGTTTTTGTAAGTTCTAAAATCTGAGTTCCCAAATAAGAGAAATACCTTTATCAAGTATATAATTTTATTTTCAAATAAGCTTGAGGATATTAAGTATTTTATAGGATTAAGTATATTTGAAAGGCTGTAAATATTAACTATTAAAATTATTTGTAAACATGTTTTAATTTTATTATATAAATTGCTTTATTCTTTTTTCTGAATACGAAGGTTATAATATATTCATTAAAAAATAATTAGTATGACTATTGAAGGAGAAATGTAAATTAACTAAAAATCTTAGTTATTTTATGAAGAATGATGGAAATAAAAATAAAATACTCTAACCAGAATTATCTAACAACTGAAAGGAATACTAAAAGAAAAAACAAATTTTCTGTGATGCCAATGACCAACAATCTTGGCCAACCTTACCTGTTTTTAAATAGAACATCAGTTAACCCTTTAAGGGGTATCTTTTGGTCATTTTCCTACATTGCTTAATTCCATATTGTTATGTGACCCTTAGGAACATATGAAATTGAGAATTATATGTTTAGGGGAGTTGGTGTTGGGCAAATTACTTTAGCATTTTGTTCTATACTAACTATCCTCTCTGAGATTTTTGGAGAATCATTAATAAATCCATATTGCTAGTTACCCTGGAGCATGTTTTATAGTGTTGCCCAAGTGAGAAATGCCTCAGTCAAATATCAACATCTGCAATTGGAATACCTGCCTTGTGACTTTCAATTTGGGACTCATATTTAAATCTACTGCTTGTTTTCCCTGTCCATGGTCTCTTACATGTATGTTCCAGCTATCTATGGCTATGTAACAAATAATCCCAACACTTAATGGCTTAAAAGAGTAATAAATTTATTATCTATCATAGTCTTTGTAGGTCAGAAATTCAGGTGCAGCTCAGTCAGGTGGCTTTGGCTCAGGGTCTCTCATGCAGTTGCATTCAGATTGGCTGGAGCTGGAACAGGCAGGGAATGGAGCTGCAGGTAGCTGGCAGACATCTCTTCCTCTTCATGCAGTGTCAGTGCTTTTCCATGTGGTTTGTCCATATAGGCTAATTTGAGCTTCCTCACAGCATAGCAACCCTGGATATCCTACTTAGCAACTCGGGGTTCTAAAGGCACGTGTCCCGAGAGAGACTAGCAGGAGCTGCATGGCTTTTTCCCACCTAGCCTTGGCAGTCATGCAGCATCACTTCCACTGCATTCCATTGGATGAGGAAGTCACAAATGCCTGCCCAGATTAAAAGGAAGATTTGCCACGTGATGGAGAGTAGCAAGATTTTGGAAAAGCATTCAAGACAGGGAATATTGTAGCCATTTTTGGAAAATATTATTTTCTACAGCGCATGTCACATCATTTCCTACCAACATTGTTCTAGGCCTCTCATTGTACCTCAGTCATCTGCTCTAGATGAGGAGTGTCCACCTCTATGATGTGCCCCAGAACACCTGAAAGTTGGGAATGATTTAGTTTGTAGAAAGCGGCTACTACCCAGCCCCTCCCAGCCCAGCCCTTAGATGCCTCCTTCGCTGTTGTTAAGTAGATAAGTTCCTGCTGCTGCCTCTCCCAAAGCTGCACACATAGAGTTCTGCAGGTGCTCAGCCAGTTCATCTTAAACCAACCCTGCAGCTGCTCTGCATGATGACTGCTGAGCTTTCTGAGATGCCTCACCCCCATTCCATATGAATTTTGTATAAGCCCTTGGTTTATATTCTACGTCCTATCATTTCAAAGTAATTCCAGACAGTTTCATGAAGATCCTTCTAACTGTTTTCACAAGATAAAAAAATAGACCTTCATTTTATATGGAGCTTAATTAGGTTTTAAAAGATCCTTTTTAATTTTCATTCTGTTATGGTCTTCAGCACACCGTAAAATGTAGCACAACAAGCCATTTCTGTTCAAAGGTAACATTTAGGATAATTTTTTAAAATAAACACTTCTGATATTTTTGTTTATACTAGCAGACTAATGAGACAATTAGATATTAGGTAATTTACATCATAGAAGAACCCTCTTTTCCATGTGTTTGGATAATTTTGTTGTCTTAGTAGACATGCTTAGTAGAATGCTTAGTAGAAAAGAAGTCAGAACAGACCTATAAACTTACCATAAAATTAATAGACTATGACAATTCATTCTACGAATGTATATACTTTGTAGTAGTTGAGTTTTTTAAACTACAGAATACTAATATTTATTAAATAGAAACAATATTAAATTTATTAAAATATCAATACCAATAATTCAGAAATGCTTATACAAAGCCTTAGTTTGATTTTAATCAAGTTTACAGATGAATAGATATTTAAGCACTTGTTGTATTTGAACATTTGATTAGTGAAAATATTGGATTTACTAGGCAATGGCTTTCTGCTTTTCTTCAATATGTTATGTAGTGGTAGAAGGATAAAGCTGAAAGATCTCAAATTTAATTAGGATAATGTTAATGCACATAGCCCTACTAGTAGGTAAGTATGTAGATAAGCAATGATTTTTCTTATTTAAAAGGTAAATCCTCTTTGCTATTCCTTTTTCTGATTATAGCACATAATCAACTGTTTCTGTGAATTCTTAAGACCTTTCCTGTGGGCTGAATAAAGCATGCTTTTGGAAAGGTAAACATTAATATTAATCTTCTCTTTTAGGTTTTGATTTTGGTGTGCGTCAGAATGGTGAACGGGTTAATCACGTCAACCTCCCTCCTTGGGCACGCAATGATCCTCGTCTTTTCATCCTCATCCATCGGCAGGCTCTAGAGTCTGACTACGTGTCCCAGAACATCTGTCAGTGGATTGACTTAGTGTTTGGGTACAAGCAAAAGGGGAAGGCTTCTGTTCAAGCCATCAATGTTTTTCATCCTGCTGTAAGTGACTCTTTTAAAATAATCTACATTTATATAAGATAGAATCTGAATATCGTAAGGTTAGCCGTTAGGCTGTTCCTTTAAAGTACGCAAGTTATTAATGAGAATTGGCAATAATATTAAAGTGTTACTCAGTATTTTTCAGGTTTCATATTTCATCTCTTTGAAAATAAGTTACTATCTGTGTCAGGAGTTCTCCAAAACCACCCACAGGTTTGATGATTCACTAGGCGGACTTAAGGATTCAGCAGCTCAGGTTTATTACAGTGAATGATACAAAGCAAAATCAGCAAAGGCAGAAGTCCAGTCTTTTTGACACCAGGGGACTGTTTCATGGAAGACAAATTTTCCACGGATGGTGGGTGGGGGATGGTTTGGGGATGATTCAAGTGCATTACATTTATTGTGCAGTCAAACCTCTCTGCTAATAATAATCTGTATTTGCAGCCACTCCCCAGCGCTAGCATCACTGCCTCAGCTCCACCTCAGATCATCAGGCATTAGATTCTCATAAGGAGCACGCAATCTAGATCCCTCGCATGCGCAGTTCACAGTAGGGGGGTTCACACTACTATGAGAATCTAGTGCTGCTGCTGATCTGACAGCAGGTGGAGCTTATGTGGTGACGTAAGCAATGGGGAGCGGCTGTAAATACAGATGAAACTTGGGTCAGCTCATTCACAGCCTGCTGCTCACCTCTTGCTGTGTGGCCTGGTTCCTAATAGGCCATGGACTGGCACCACTCCACAGCCTGGGGGGTGGGGACCACAGAGCAAAGGGTAAAGGAGCATGGGGCAAAGTCTGGGAGAAACCAGGCACATACTTGCAAGTGTCTCCTCCTGGTGAATCACAAAGAATGAGTGATTCAGTCACTCCAGCAATGAGTTGTGGTGACATATGTGAAATGTTGTCTATCGGAGAAGCTCATTAGAGACTACAGTAGCCAGGGTTTTTACTGGGTGCTAGTCATGTAGGCACCCTCTGCCTTGTACATACTGAAATTCCAGACTCCCAGAAGGAATGCAGGTGTTCAGCATAAACCTCATTGTTTGTACATACTGTTCAGGCACAGTAAGCCTCTCTTATCAGTTAGGGACTGTTGGGAACTCTTCTAAAATCCAAGTTCCCAGACACCAGCCAGAGGCTAACCTTGCAAGCAGGCCTTTCCAAGGATAGCAGTCAAGCTTGCTATGTTCACTCTTTTCAGTGCATTATTCTACACATACGTTCTATTTTTAAATGGCATTATTTTTCCTTATTTCAGAAAAAATTACTTGTGCTCTTTAGAAAAATGTATAAAATACAGACTAGGAAAAGGAAGAAATTTAAAAATCAACTCTAACATCACCATCCAGAGATAAATATTGAAACCATCTTCCAGACTTTTTTCTATATAAATACATATTCCATTTATATAATAATAATATTAATACTATTTGGTAACCTTTTTCTCTCCCTGAACAAGGTAGTTTTAAATATATTCAAGTCATTAGTTATCATTCTACATGATTTTTAATGGCTACTTACTAGAAGCTGAGCATCCCTAATCCAAAAACCCAAAATCCAAAATGCTCCTAAATCAGAAACTTTTTGAGCACCAACATGACACTCAAAGGAAATGCTCATTGGAGCATTTTGGATTTCAGATTTTCAGGTTAGAGACACTAAACTGTTACAGCAAGTGTTATAGCCGGTGGTTCTGAGGACAAACTGAGGGGCACTTGGAGAGTTGAAGAATCAAGGTTTATTCAAGGTTTATTCGCCGGCGGGCTCAGAGGGGTGGGTCTAGCCACCAAATTCTGAGCCCTGTCTTCCCAATTTTTCCCACTTTTATTAGGTCGCGGTGGTCCGAGGGGTGAGGTCTCAGGTGGCTAATGCTCCAGGTAATAGGTTAGTTGATGCTCCAGGTAATAGGTTAGTATTATGTTGCTGAGGGTCTTCTGAGGAGTGTGGTCTCAGGTGGCTGATGTGCCAGATAATAGATGGGGGTCTTCCTTATCAAAACCAGTAAGTATATAATACAAATATTCCAAAGTCCAAAAGAAATCAGAAATCTGAAACGCTTCTAGTCCCAAGCATTTCAGATAAGGGATTCCAGCTGTATTCTAAAGTGTGACTATATGATAATTTATTTAACCAGTCTTCTATTTTTGGATATTTAGCTAGGATTTGTTTGCTATTAAAATTAATATTCCTGGCCGGGCGCGGTGGCTCACACCTGTAATCCTAGCACTCTGGGAGGCCGAGGCGGGCGGATTGTTTGAGCTCAGGAGTTCAAGACCAGCCT